TACCATACTGTTTTTAACCAGTTCCCAATTGATGGTAGGACATTTAGACTTCAACTCGTCACCAATCTTAAGTTTGTACACTTGTCATTTCAACTGAATAGGGTCAAACTCTGGATAGGGTCAAACTCTGGAAGTGAAAAGGATTTTGCTAGGTCAAAGGGCATGTACAGATGTAATTCAGATGTAATTCAGAAAGAACAGCTGGACCAATCTGTGCTCCCACAGGCTATGTATGTGAGTGCCTATTTCCTCACCCCTGGCCAACCCAAATGTTATTACACTTGCACTCAATTGACTTTATATTCCAGTACAAACACTTGATTCACACAATTTCATCATTGACCTTAAGCTCATTAGGTTCATCTGAAGTACCCCCTCTGTGAAAAGGGGACAGGTTGCTGAACAAACAGAATAGGAAATGTCAAGAAAATTAACTAAAGCTTCTAAAATTCAGCAGAGAGAAACAACTGATTCCTACTGGGGTGAAATCTCCCTGGAGGAAGTGGGATCCCACCGATCCTGATGGTCACTCGGCCTCTGGACAGAGAAGGAGGAGTTTCAGGAGGGAGGCAAGCACAGCAGGTGCTGGGACAGTAATGCCCAGGACATGGTCAGTGGCAGGACAATGTGAGGAGAAGACGACAATGCTAATGCGGCAGCGTGGAAAGTGATTAATTTCAAAGCAGGGCCTTCTCTCAGAAAAAAATCAAGCATGAACAGACAAACCAGGGGATTGAGAGTTAGAATTTCTGCTCCTGGCATTAGCTCAATGATCTTGAGAAAAACTAGTTTATCTAGGCTCTGTTTCCTCACTGGTACAGCAGGGAGGTTAGCCCTGAAACCAAATTTTCTATAGTTGCAAAACTGTGTGTTCAAAGTAAATCTTCTGGTCAAGATTAATGTTAGGGAGGCAGAGCTGGACTTGGTAGGGATACACAAGTGGGAACTCCTCAGACCCATGCTTTGGTCACTCCATCCTGACAACCTAGGGGCAGGGAGGGATGGTGGGGGGGGGGGTCAAGAAACTCTTGGGATTCTACAAAGTCTGAAAGCAAGGAGACTTAGGTAGCTAAGGTCTCCTTTAGCTCTAAAGACATTTCCAGTAAGAACTTACCCAAGTAACAAAACCACATAGAAGAGCAAAATCAGATGAGCAAACTAACTTAACAGAAAACTAAACTGGATTTGCTAAGTAACAACTGCCAGGTAGTCCGGGTGTTTGTAATAGAAGCTAGCCCAAAAATAAATATTAACTAGACAAGGCCAAATCAATGGGGTGGGACCTAAAGGGGGAAAGTATGAGGTCAAGTGTCTGTGCCAGGAGAGTGGACAGATAACGATGTACAGAGAAAAGCAGGCCCAGAGTCCATGCCCCACTACCCTTCATGACCACTCTTCCACAGAATGGGGCCTGGCCCTATGGCTCTCCCCCCCCTCCTCCAGCCCCCCAACACCTCAGGCAGTTCTGTTCTAGACACTCCCAGAATTTAAAACTGTCAAGGGCACAATTGCCACTACAAAGTTCCCCTCCCACTTTTTTCATATCAAAAAGTGCATATCTGGATTTTTTTTTTTAATGTCAAAAGTTCTGACAATCCCTACATGATAATAATTACACTTCAGTATCTATGACTGAGAAAGCACAAAGGCAAAAATCTACTTTGTCACAAATGTTCCCAGCAGCACTATTCACAACAGCCAAAAGGTAGGAACAACTCAAATGTCCATTCATGGATGAACACACAAAATATGGAATATCCATATACATATTCAGCCATAAAAAGGAATTAAGTACTGACATGCTACAATGTAGATAAGTCTTGAAAACACAAGGAACCAGACACAATAGACCATATAGTGTATTGCTCCAATTATAGAAAATATCCAGGATAGGAAAATCCCAAGAGACAGAAAACACATTAGTACTGCCCAAAGTTGAGGGAAGGAACAGTGGACAGTGATTATTAATAGGTAGACAAGGCTCTTTTCAGAATGATAAAAATGTTCTGGAACTATACAGTAGAGACAGTCATACAACACTGTAAATGTACTAAATGCCAACTAAATTGTGCGTTCAGAAATGGTTAAAATGGTAAATTTTTGAACCAGCAGGTGGTGTGGCGGTTAAGGCACTGGACTCCCATGAGGATAAAGACGGTTCAAGTCTTAGACTTGGCTACTTGAAAATCTCACTGGGTACGTATGTACACAGCCAAAATACCAGGAAGGAAGAGAAAGAAGGCATTGAAGCACAGCCATTCCCCTGGTAGGTGATTTCTCACTTTCTCTCTCACTGTCTTTCTCTAGAGAACACAGACAAAAACCTTTAATTTAAAAAAAAAGGTAAATTTTATGTTATATATATTTTACTGCAATAAAAAAAAACTACTATGGGTATGATAAACCTTGAAAACTTATTTTTATGCCTAAAATTTAACTTGGAAAGCGGCAGTTATGAACACTGAAAAACAAAACCACACACACACACATTTGTGAACACATACTACCTTGCCAATGCTTGGTGTGAATGTAAACACTCCAAACACACTGGCAAAAAATAAGGACAATAATGGCAATATTTATTCATCTAGGTATAGCTATAAGTACTCACATTTAATCCTGTGAGACACTTAGCCTCACTTTACACTAGATAACACAGGCACTGAGTTAACCTATCCAAGATGAAAGAGCTAGCAGGTGGCAGAGCACTGAGATTTAAATCTGAAACCAATCTAATGTCAGATCTTTGTGGTCACAATGCAGATCCTTCTCATTTGGTCCCAAACCCATTCTCTCTTACTACCTACTACTCCTCAGTAGTAAAATACTTATTTTAAAGTTCACTGAATTTACAGCTTTTTCGTTGTGATAAAGAACACATGACATAAAAATGTACTACTTTAACAATTTCAGAATGCCCACCCCAAAATCATCATTCCACACAGAGAATCACCTACTCAGCCTTTGCATAGGCAGTACCTTGAGTGAGAGCACCAAGCTTAAGTACTATATCATGCATCCTTGAGGCCTGCAGTACCTTTCTGCTCTCTGAAAGCCTTGCTAGAATAGGGAGAATGGGAACCAGAGCCACCAGGGTTCGTGTACAATCTGCCAAACACTGTTCTTCCCACATGCAGTCATGCCACAAACACTGAGTGCCCATTTTCCCAAGAGGAACAAAGAACCACTTTAACGACCCCAGCAAAACTAAAGGTGCCTTGAACTCTGCTGATGAACAATGTGGATTACAAATCTATGGACCACAAGACTGGGTCAGTGCAACCATTCTGTTTGACCAGCACAGCATTTCCAAACACCTACAACAAAATTTGAATGTGTTCTCCAGGCACCCAGTCCCAAGGTGCCAAATGCTGCTTAGTACTGTCTTGTGACTGTGGCTCCAGGCTTTGTGAGCCATTTCTGACCTACCATTAACTGACTCAGGCATTACTCCCAATTACGTCTCTTCCTACCATCATTCTTTTTCTTTTCTTTATTTTTTTGGAGAGGTTTTTGCTAGAGGGTGCGTGCACTTGCCAGAGAGACAGAAAACGAGAAATCATCCCCCCAGGGGGGATGGCCACGTCAAAATTCCTTCTCCTCCATTCTCCTCTCAGGACCTTGGGCGCGCACACACACGCGCCTGGTGTGAGTTTAAACAGCCAGGTGGGTTCAGGACTCGAACTGCAGTCCACTACATGGGAGTCCAGCGACATAGCCAGTATGCTAACTGCTGGTCCCCCTACCACCATTCTTTCACATATAATAATAAACCCCAGCTGGAAAAGATACCAAGAGAAATAAAAGGGCAAAATAGACATCATTTGATTTTTTTTTTAAAAGGAAAACACAGTTACCTCTAAGGATCATATAAACTCCCTGTGTAAATTCAAAGGTGGAAATATCCCTAAACTGATATAACTTCAAATCACAACTAAAATTTAAGAACTTTTAAAACAAGGGTCTCTCTCAGTGCTTCCACCTCTAAGCAGGGATGGGGTGCTACAGGGTGGGGTCAGCCTGTGATTTCAGAGAAAAGGTTGAAGACCTTTGTTTTAGAAAAGTTTACCTATAAATTTCAACAACAAAATGAGACATCTAGTGTTTGAATTATTTCTGTTCAGTTTACAGCATTGCTCAAGTTCAGGGAGTAATAAGCACCAAAGATAGAAATGGAAGGGATCACTGAATGAACACTGTGCTTGACCATGACAAACATGGTGTGCCCCTCTGACTCTAAAGCTTGAGTTCTCTAGACTGGCAGGAAGGAAGGCCACTAATTGTACAAACATGTAAAATGTTCTAATCTGTGTCCTATAAAACCAGCATACTACCAAGTAAGAAATAAGTTAATGTTCACAAACTTCAGCAAATAAGAGTCTTAATTTGGCATAGGGAATGAGTGTCTTTGCCTTTGGAAAGATTTTTTTATCAGGTCAAAAGCCTGGAGTACAAATATTTACATCTAATAATCAAAACAGAAAGCTGAACTATTAAGACGTTTTATACCAACCATTTTCTATAAATGACAACTTTAGCCCTAGTTGAGTTACTGAAAACTT